AAAAAAAAAAAAAAAAAAAAAAAAAAAAAAAAAAAAACAAACAAACAAACAAACAAACAAACAAAGGTAACAACAACAAAAACCTGATTAAAAGGTCAGATAGAAATAAAATGTAATTACCTTAAAAAGCACGTGAAAGAAGCATATCTGTGGATGAGCATAATTCTCTCCCGAAGGCTGCAAACATAAAGAAATAATCTGAAATTTGTTTCATAATTGAACTTTTTTTTTTTTTCTCATGTGTGCCTGGAGGAGAAATTGGGAATGCAGGCCATACTCATTTCTAGTTATTTGGAATTATGCCTATTAAATCAGGAAATTTACCATAACCAACATTGGAAGGATCTGTTTAGAGTGTGTTATAACTCCTTATTTCTTTAGTATCTCATGACTATAAAACCGATATCTCCGCTCAATACAACACATGACATAGTAGATATTTGAAATGGTCTGCATAAATATTAGAAGTCGATAAACCAAAAAAAGAGATAACATGAACTGAACATAAGATGACCAATAGACAAAGAACTGAAACGGAATACGGATTTCCAAACAACTTCAAAAGGAGATAGAAAGCAGAATGGGCCATGGGCAACAGGAGCTCAGTTACTGCCGTAGTATAATGTTGACAGTTAAAACCAAAATAAAACATGACGATAAAAGCTCACTATCCAGATGCTTGCGTCTTTCTCAACCTGACTCAGGGCATGAGGTTAATTATCCAGTGAAAAAGAAAGCCAGAAAAAGGAACCAAAGCATATTCAACTATCTATACAACACATTGGGGAGGTTGGAAATATGGAAGTGTAGACATTGAAATTTTAATATTTTAGTAACTAATTTTTTTGTTTATTTTTGAATATAAATTCAAGATAAACAAGATATTTAATAATAATGTAATTATTTCTTGCCCACCAAGTCAAATCCTAGGATAATGAAAGAAATTATATCAAATAATGAAAGACCAATCAAATTGATGTTTTCTTCTTCAAGACTCTCTCCCTTACAAGTATAATTAGGGGCTCTCCCCAAGCCGAAATAAATCAAAGTTGAGTCTCAAGGTCGAGAGCTCTCAATTCTCTTAGAGATCCAAATGTGTTTTGAAGATCCAAGACGTTCAAGTCCAAGTTCGTTTCCAAAAAGGATTAAAAAAAGAAAGAAAGATCATCAAGAAGTCATCTTCAATCAAATCAAGTCCTAACATTTAATATGAGAATAAGTCATTCCACCCCCAAATTAATGTTAGAGAAATCAAGATCAAGCCAGGAGAAAATTTGAAGATCAAATCCAAGTCCACGAATAGAAGACACGGAGGGTTTCATATAGAGATTGTAACTAAGTTGTACGGAAGATTTGTAATTTTCATAAAATTTATTGTTATACTGCACATCGTAAAGACACCTCTCAACTACATAACTTATGTTCCACCTCATAAAAACCCAAACATTATCAAGTATATCATGTGGAGCAGGATCAATCAACAAATTTTGGATTAATTACAACTAAGACGATTAATCAAATTTATGTCACATCCACATTAATATTTATGAATCATCGTATAATTTATCAGCCTTGCATATTATCAGGTCCAAAACCTAAACCTATTTGAACCAAACCAATATAAAAAGTTGGAATCTTTTCTCATATTGCCAATAGACCGTCCCTTGAATATTCATCAATATTACAAAAGGGTTCAACGCGATGATCAATGCTAGAAGATTCACCAAACTGCATTGAACGAACAATTATCAAATAATAATCCTATAAGTGACAAAGTCTTGAAAACAAAAATTATCTCAACAATGGTGGAGAAGAGAACTTACTGGATGCAGATCCATTTTGCGATATGCGGAGTTCCTCTTGTTCTTGCTGTCCATGCGTGAGAAATGTGAAGAGAATGTCTGTTAAACTCCGCAAAAGGTTGTACAATCTATTTCTTATTCAGATTTGCAGATTCTTTTTTGCTATTAAAATACCATTAATTACCAGCTGATATCTTTGGCACTGTATAGTAAATCCTACCAAATGAGATTATTACCCAAAAACTGAAGTGAACCAGTACATGAACATAATAAAACTAGAGTCACCCTTGAAGACTGATATCCTATAGTTTTCTTGAGATACCTAAATTCACAAGCTTAAGAATTCATTCATAATTTAAGCGAACGTGTCACAAATTGGCCGAATCAAATATATAGATAAAAATTAATCAGAACTACAAAACAGCAGAACCAATATGAATATTTCATGAATCACAATATGCATAAAAGTTAATTCTGAACTAAAAAACAGCAAAACCCGGTATGAATAGTTCATCAATCATATTTAGTAATAACATATCATGTGATTATAATATTCAAAATAAAGCCCAATATTGTCGATTATAGTCAATGACGCTTGCAAAGAGTTCAAATTTACGCCGAACTACTGAATTGCAGTATTGAGAAATTTCTATCAAACTTTGATCAACGATAAATATCTTCACATGGCTTTTTGACAACCATAAGTACGACATCATTGCTAGATCTTCAAAAAAATATCATCAACATACTACACGTAGGGTTGGTATCGGTTCGGTTACGGAACCGATAAGACCATACCGATACCGAACCGGTTATTTCCGTAACAACAAAATATGAAACCATTATCGAACCGATTGTAATCAGTTTCTTACCGAAAAAACCGAAATTTAATCAAAAATACGGGGAGCTCAAAATGATAGACTCTGTTTTGCAAATTATGTAAAAGGCAATATCCTGGTCTTTCTAAGAGTGTCACAATGTTACTGCTCATACTAAACTAGTTTCGCATGACCACATCCTCAATTGCCATTTAATGTTTTCAGATCTATGGCAAGCCAGCAAGCTGATTAGGGCAAACAACAATATCAAAAATTGTACACTCTTGGAAGGTGAAGTCGATTCAGTACCAGGAAAAGGGAAACGAATTTCATTATTTCAGTACTTGAAAAGTACTTGAATTCCACGAATTTCAGTACCTGAATTTGTAATGCCGCCGGTGCCGGAGAGAATTCACTGAGAGATTCGCTTGCAAGAGAGAATTCCGGTGTCGGTGTCGGTGTCGGTGTCGGTGTCGGTGCCGATTAGACTGAGGAGCGAGCGCGAACTAGGGCTCTGCCGCTCAGGTTTCTTTCTTCTGGTTGGAAGCGAGCGCGATCTATCAATGGTGAAAGGGCCGATTTTTTTTTTTTTTTCTTATCTTTTATTTTTTATTTTTTTGGGTTAATAGGTGAGACTTTGAATTGGTGAGACTCATGAGAGGACTTTTTTTTTTTTTTTACTAGCCTTGATAGGATGGGTCCCTAGTTTACTAAATAAGATCAGGATAAGAATACTGATGACGTGACATAAGTTGACACACGTGTATCATTGTTGGCGGGATAAAAATATCCGGTCATTATGGTGTCATAAATCTATTCTTTGTTTGATGACCTTTATTTAATTTAAAATAATTTTATGTAATTTAAAATAGTATTATTTAATCTATAGATATTAATTTAAATAATTTTGCTTAATTTAAAAATATTTTTAATACAAAATAATTTTCAAATAATATTATTTAATTTATAAAATATTAATCTTAATAAATTTATTTAATTTTAAATAATTTTACTTAATTTAAAATAAATATCAATTAATCTAAAATAATTTTTGTTAATTTAAATAATATTATTTAATCTATAAAAAATAAATTAAATAATTTTATTTAATTTAAAAAAATTGTTTAATATATAAAAATATTAATTTAAATAATCTTATTTAATTTAAAATTATTTTATTAATTTAAATAATGTTATTTAACCTATAAAATATTAATTTAAATAATTTTATTTAATTTAAAAAATATTGTTTAATATAAATAATTTAATTTAATTTAAAATAATATTATTTATTTATAAAATATTAATTTAAATAATTTTATGAAATATTAATTTAAATAGTTTTATTTAATTTAAAAAATATTGTTTAATATAAATAATTTAATTTAATTTAAAATAACATTATTTAGTTTATAAAATATTAAATTAAATAATTTCATATAATTTCAAATAATTTTATTTAATCAAAACTAATATTATTTATTCTAAAAATTATTAATATAATTACTATTATTTAATACAAAATATTTTTCATGTAAAATAATTTTATTTAATTTAAAAGAAAGCCACATCAGCGGTCAGCATATAATTTATAAAAATATTAATTTAATTAATTAAATCGTTAATTTAATGTATTTATCATAGACTTTATCCACTTTGGTAAACATGGCACAATTTGTATCCAAAATCTTATGTGGTAAATTTTGTTTTTTTTTTTTAAACATCCCAGATTGGGATGGGAGGTTGAGGCTACACCCCCGACCTGTGAATATAATGGCCCAGAAGGGCTAAAAAGTCAATGGTCTACACCCAAGTCGAAAATACATAGAGCAACATCAAAAGCAGAAAAATAAAAAAATACAAGGATCACAAAAATATCAGATGTGGAACTAAAATCAAATCCTCATAAAAAGGTCGTCCTGTCAGAATGTCCTGTCATGGAGTCCAAAATGTCAAATCTAGTCAGGGGCAGGTGGTGGCGGTCGACCGAATCTGAAGGATGGGTACTCTAACTGGTCCATCCGAATGAGCGTCCGAAGCCGGAGGGCAATGTCCTCGGGAAGAAGGGTGCGTCTCTGGGGTAAAGATGCCCCCGTGCTAGCAAGGAAATCAGCGGGTCGATTCCCCTCCCGGAATATGTGTGAGACCTGGTAATGGATCGAGCGGAGGGTGTCTCTGATACGCATAAGAGGATGTTGGATCTGCCATGAGCCCTGGTGGCCAGATGTCAAAAGTGTGATGACAGCCGCAGCATCCATCTCTATCCAGACATGAGAGGAGATCGAGGTGGAAATCTCAAGACCAGTCTGGAGCGCCTGAATTTCTGCATCATAACTCGAGGAGGCCCGAAGTGGCCCATGGAAGGCAGAGATGAGTGCCCCACCATGATCCCTAATCAGGCTCCCTCCTCCAGCAGCTCCGGTATGTCTGTCGAAAGCGCCATCAGTGTTTAGCTTAACCCAAGGGGCCTTGGGTTTCAGCCAAACAACGGTCCTAGGTCGTGGATGCTGGACAGGTAAAGGAGGTGGTGGCCTCAAACGATGGGGCGGTGTACACCCTGTCCAGTCTCTCGTCGTGAGTCTACCCAGGGCGGTGAGAAGAGAGAGGTGTCTGTCAACCTGCAAAATAATGTGAGCACAAAAAAATATAATATCTTTATGCTTCACATTATTCCTTTCTGTCCAGGTGGCTCATAGGATCAGACAAGGAATAAGGAAGCCCACGTGTCTACTGTGTGTGCGGTGTGAGAAAAAACTCAGAAGCTCAAAAAAACTGTCTGTAGTGGGTAGGGGTATATGAGTGTATCTGGCATAGTGCTCCCACACTCTCCTCACAGTCTCACTCTCAAGGAAAAGATGGGTGAAAGTCTCGATCTCAAAGGTACCGGTCTCAGCACAACAATGGCAGGGGGAGGGGAAGGAGAACCCTCTCGCCTGCATCATAGTGTCAATGGGAATGCGCCGTAATAGGAGGCGCCACAAAAAGACGGAAATGGTCGGGGTGAGAAGGTTGGTCCATATGGCCCCGAAGAGGCGGTTTGGCCGGTTTCCCAGCCTCACATCTCCCCAGGCTGATGACGTAGAGAATGCACCCGAAGATGTAAGTCTCCACCTCATGCCATCCAAACCTCCCTCCAGAATGGGAATCTGTCGGATCTGGTCAATCTCTAGACTACTAAAACCCCCACCCTCACCAAGAATGTCCTCCATCTTATCTCTATCCCAAAACCCTCCCGTCCAAAGGTCCTTCACTTGCATGAAAGACAGGTGAGTGACTGGCCTAGTACTCGAGAGAGGGGCCTCGCCGAACCACCACTCATCTCAGAAGCTGGTGTAGATGATTATTATAATTATTGTTATTATTATTATTATTATTATTATTATTATTATTATTATTATTATTATTATTATTATTATTATTATTATTATTATTATAGGTATCTTAGAGAATAAGTTAGAAATCTAATATTATTATAAGAGATCTTGTCTTGTTGGACAAGTTAGGAATAGGATTATGAGCCTTATTTAAAGGACTCCTCATCTATTGTTTTATTCGGTTGATTTTGAATGAAATAAGATATTGCTGAGTTTTACGTGTTTTACGAGAGAGTATCTCGTTTACTTGTTCCCTTCCCATTCGTACGCTTTCCCCTACATCAGTTGGTATCAGAGCCAGGTTGATCGCGATGCCGCCGGGACGACAAGATGCCGCAAACAAACAATGTGACGCAACCTTCAACGATCGGTTTCAACAGATTGACTACCGATTTCAAGAGTTGGACGTGCGTTTCACAGATTGGTTTGTCGATCTTTCGACGGGGATCGAGGATTTGCATTTGACGCTTAACAACGTGGTTGTTTCGGAATTGCAAACGAACCGCGATGGGGCTGTGGGCCGTGGCTTTCGCGGGGGAGACAGAGGCGGTTGTGGGGGACGCAGCCATGTCGGGGCGCCCCGACAGTGGTTCCCGCCAACTCTGAACGGCTTCGTGGACGGCAACGATCAAGGCAGCGATAGGGGTTGGCGCGAGGAGGCAGCCTTCGCTGGCAGATATCGTGCCCAACACGATTGGGGACTTGATCGTGAATTTGGTCCGTGGGAGGGCCTGTTTCGCGTTGACATCTCCGAATTCGATGAAGAGCAAGTTGACGGGTCATTGTACGATGGTCCGCCTGTGTTTGATGAAGGACCCGAAGAGGTGGAGGATCGTCTTCCCGACAAAGTGGACGATCTCTATGACGATCCGCCGATTTTCGTTGAGGAGCCTCCAGGGCTAGAGGATTACCATCATGTTTCGAGTTTCAAAATTCAGTTGTTGGAAGAAATAGTTCTTCTATTGCGCAGGCCCGAGCTTTTCTCCCATGAGAATTTGTTGCGACCTGGCAACCTGTTTTTTGGTCCCCACGGTGACTTCAATATTCTGCGTGTGACTGCAGCATATATGCCTTTATATGAATTTCAAAGGGGCAATACTATGGAGGTGAGGTATTCGACCTTCGTGTTCGATCGGGGGAAACGGTAGGGGTTTACTATCATGGGTTCGACACCATACACCGGCCACGGATGCGCATCGGCTTCGAGGGCGAAGCCTTCCAAACCGGGGGAGAATGGTGTAGATGATTATTATTATTATTATTATTATTATTATTATTATTATTATTATTATTATTATTATTATTATTATTATTATTATTATTATTATTATTATAGGTATCTTAGAGAATAAGTTAGAACTCTAATATTATTATAAGAGATCTTGTCTTGTTGGACAAGTTAGGAATAGGATTATGAGCCTTATTTAAAGGACTCCTCATCTATTGTTTTATTCGGTTGATTTTGAATGAAATAAGATATTGTTGAGTTTTACGTGTTTTACGAGAGAGTATCTCGTTTACTTGTTTCCTTCTCATTCGTACGCTTTCCCCTACATCAGAAGCTAACCTCCCCAGAGCCCAAGGTCCAAAAAATATGCTCCTGGGCACGCCTGCCAACAATGGTGAGCCGTCTCCACTGTTGACTATCCCGAGCAGTGGCTGTCACCCTGCAGGGATGGCAGCACCACTAGGGGAATATTTCCTCAGGAGGTATTGGGCCCAAAGGGACTTGCCCTCCCTAAGGCGCCACCACATCCTGTAGAAAAACGCAATAAACATATCAGAGAAACGCCGAATCCCGAGTCCACCCTCAGAGTGGGGACGGCAGATGGAGTCCCACTTCACCCAGTGGGGTCTGCCGCCGACCTCGCGAGCCCCCGCCATAGCTCCAAAAATAGCGGGCTAAGATCTGATCTAACTCATGAATCGTAGACTGGTGGGGGTCAAGCACCGCGAGAAGGTGAAAAGGAAGGGCACAAAGAGTGCTCTTGATCAGAGCAAGTCGGCCTCCGAAGGATAGATGTCTATGTGACCAGCCAGATATCCGGTCAATCATCCTCTGACGGACGTCAATGAAAAGGTCATGGGAAAGATGGCCTTAGTACAAGGGGGCCCCAATGTAAGGAATGGGTAAATCCCCACGAGCAAATCCAGTGCGCTCGTGAATCTGGTGAGCCCAATGGTCTGCAACGTGGTGATCCATGATAAAGGTACTCTTACTAACACTGACTAGCTGGTCAGATGTCTCACTGTAGTGGTCCAAAAGACTCATGAGAGCAACTAGCCCATTATCATTCGCTCGAGTGAAAATGATAATGTCATCCGCGTAAGAAAGGTGGGAAATGGGAGGCCCACAGCCACGCGTACTGTAGGTCATCCTTAGAAAATTACGAATG